CCCACACACCCACACACCCACACACCCACACACCCACACACCCACACACCCACACACCCACACACACACACACCCACACACCCACACACCCACACACCCACACACCCACACACCCACACACCCACACACCCGCACACCCGCACACCCACACACCCACACACACACACACACCAAAAGCCAAAAAGAACACACGCAGACAAACCCACACACACACACGCACACAAAAGTGGGCCTAGAGACAAAGAAGTGTCCCATCTGAGGATTCCCGGCGTGCCACCTTGGCACCCACGGCGGTGCGCTCCAACATCCGGGCGCGCCTGGTTGGCAGACCCTGCGCCTTCCGCTTCTCTTTGACCAGTTTCATCTATCGGCGCTTTCGACCCTTGGAGAAAAAATATGGCCATGGGTCAAAATCCCGTACCCCCAGTGAACACATCCCAATCCCCACTAAAATAGACTAAAATTGGTGGTGCACCTACCCCAAAATGGTGCCATTGGTTTTGACCCACAGCCATATGTTGAGTGGTACTGTGGATGGACGAAATCCTGCACCATTTTGAAACCATGGGAAATACTTTCAGGGGAATCATCATTCCAGGGTTTCTTAGGCGGTGCAGGATTTCGTCCATCCACAGTAGGTTCCCTTTAAAACCAACAGGGGAAAACAAAACACATTTTTAGGCAAATGGACAGGTTTTGCCTCCCGTCAAGGACCCTCCGACCCTTTGACCCTCTCGACAATCCTGCCTACCCTCTTGCAGCCAAAGGTCTGCCTTTCCAACCAAAGGAAAGTGGCCGTCCAGAGGGGCCTGTGCATTTCCGTTTTCATCATGATACACGCAGTGACCGCCAGTGGGACGTGGGGGTCAGCATGCCAAAGGGTGAGAAATCGCAAGGAGCCGCTGGGAAGCGACAATGTCGTGTGCAAGAGCCCCCACCATGCGCGTTCCGTTCCAATGCGAAACAGACCGCAGTCTGTTGAGTTCATGCTTTGATTGTTTTAGCCTTGGTTGCTTCGCAGCGTGCTTTTGGTGTAGGGGTTGCTTTTGGGCGGCTCATGGCTGCCATGCGAGCCTTGCTGAGGTTCAGCGAAGTCAGGGGGTAGAGTGAGTTCAGCAAAGATGGGCATGCTGTGTGCCCATGCGGGAGAATTCAGTAGTTTCACCGGTCTGTGCCTTTGAGTGGGATTGGGTTGAGTGTTGCCGTTTGTACGTGGTGGCTTACTTTGTGTTAAGAATAAAAAATGCAACAGCCGAGACACGGAAACAGCATCACAACCAACTGGGCGTGTCTTTCTTTTTTAGAAGGTACTTTTTTGTTTTTGTTAAAGGGACACCTACAATGGAACACCACCTTTTTGTTTGTTGGGGTCTCCTAGAAAAGACACACAACCACATGAAGGAACAGGTCTTCTCATCCGCACTCACTCTCTCGGCGCCCGGCGCGTCACCCAGGCGTCGGAAGATGTCCCTGCCACGCTCCGCAGACGCCAGCGCCGCGTCAGCGTCCTGCCGCGAGATGCTGTGGGGCTTCTTGGAAAACTGAATCTGGGTGAATTATAATATTTCTCCAGCCTGAAATAAGGTGGTTGGGGGCTATTCCCAACATAAACCACGGTTTGGGGTGAATTCGGTCGTATGAGGTCATCATAATTCCCCCAGCTGAATTCTCCACCCCCTAGAGGTCTTCTTCAACATGATCAGCCACTAGATGTAATGCCCAAGCACCTGAAACTGCATTCGTTGATTGAGATTCATTAGGCCTCCGGATTTCTGCCGTTTTTGTGAGGGTCCCCCTTTTTGCGCCGCGAAAGGACCAGCTCTTTAAAACCCACCCGCCAGGTGCTCAGGGTCGCCGCCAAAAAACGCAAAAACCACGGCGCCCGGCCCCTCGAGCTGCGCCTCCTTGAGCTGCGCCTGCGCCAAAACCTGGGAGACGTCGGGCGGGGAACGGGGGGCAGCCTCCTGGGTGTGGGTCAAAAGTAAGCCACCAGGAATTGGACCGCAGGGTTTGGTAACCATGTTGCCAGAAAACCAAGGCAAGCCATTTTGGGGTTACCCCATTTTTGACCAGCCATGTGGCACGGGGTGTTAGGATTTGCCGACCGCTCCCCACCCAAAGTGGGCGTTTCAGCGGCTGGTACAGTCGGTTTTCGTGTAAGACCAACAAACAAGGGGTACCCAGGAAAAACAAGCAGACCCATCTTCATTTTGTTTGGAACCCCCCCAAAAGTAGCAGTCCTTTCAATGGAATGGGCAATCATCAGCCTTGTGGGAAACGCCAATCAAAACACCCACAAACATCCGCACTGTTTCGAAACCAGGCAGAAAAGAGGTGACAAGTGCGCGCAAGGGTTTACGAGGTTCCACACGGGTAGAACATCGGGGTCTGTCTTTTTTCGGAGGGTACAGGAACGCCACCATTTTAAGGAAGGCCCCCGCAAAAGGAGAGACACAGGGCAGGTTCACCCCCGGGGTTTGATCGGCTCGCAACCTCGGGGGGCGATTTCATCCGAAGTTCCAAAAAACACTTGCCAGCGCTAGGCGCTTGTTTGAAGCTAGGGACTTCAAGCCCGTTCTATGTTCAAAAGGACCACACATAGAAAGGAGGTGCGGTGCCCTGCAAACATCCGATGCCAGCATCAGCACTCGAGTTTCTTGCAGACCTCGGGACCACTGTCAGTCGCTCACGTCTCGTGGGAGTGTGTGCTTGCCAAGGGTACCCTTTTCAGGTTAGCTTGAAGGGAAGCCAAAGACAAACCGAACTCCGCTTGCGGGAAATCGAAAGGACAACCACCAGGTTCGATATGTTCTGGGTCCACATCCAACACGTTTGACACATGGGTGCGTCTTTTTGTGGGGTACCCGTTTCGTGCGGATAAACCAGAGGAAAAGCACCACTGTTGACCCCGTGTTAATCAACTCCTGCTTATTCATATGGGGGTGTCCCCCCCCCCACTAAACCCAGGGACACTCCCCTATTAGTAAGCTGGGGTTGATGCATATGGGGTCAACATCTTCCATTTGGTTAAGAACCCTTGAACCAAATATTAAATATTTCCACTTGTGGTTAAAAACAAAAAACATTTTAAAACCAACGAGGAAAACCATTATAATAATAAAACTTAAGCAACTGGAAGACATCATTTTTGGCGTCCCCCCAAAAAAGGGAAAGGCCGCCCCGCACGCCCGGGCGTGGAAGCGTCGTTGTCGAGCCCCGGGCGTTCAAGGTGGCCGCCTCACCCTCCGGCAGCTGCAGAGCCCGGAAGAGCTGGAGGGACTCCTGCCACGAGTTGGGCCTTTGAGCCTCTGAGCCGGGTCTTTTATTTGGTTGGGACCCGTTTTGTGGGTTGGGGGGTTGGACATATATACATATAATTATATGTATACCTGGAGCACCCTTCGTTACCTAAATTTCTGCCCTTAGCCCAAACGTATTGCAAAACCAGGGGTCGTCACCAAAATACGGTAAATGTACACTTTTTCCTGCTTCGAGCGTTTTTCCCAAAACTTGGCTGGTCGGTCCTCCAAGATGATCGGTCGCTGAATTTTTGAAAGGAGCGAGCAGAATTCGAAGTGCAAAACGAGCGCAACTATCCGCAAAACGAGCGCAAATATCCGCAAACGAGTGCAAATTCAAAAAGCGTAACAATGCCGGCCGTCCTCTGGATGGAAGAAGGGATTTGGTCGAGCGTTTTTCGGGGTGCGAGCGTTTTTTGTGGGGTCGAGCAGAAATCGGTAATTCGAGCGTTTTTTTCTCGTACCTAAAAAAAAAGGCACGTTGGGTGCCTAAGGTATATATATATATATTATATTATATTATATTATATGCCTTGTCGTTCTTGTTAAATTGTCACGGATCCCTTTCTGAGGGACGAATGAGGGGGGCAAGCTATCCCTAAGCCAAGCCAAGGATAGCCCTTTTGTGGCTGGGGGGGTTTAACACATATAGAAATATACAAGCGACACCCCAGAAGAGTTCAAGAAACTGCTAAACTGCTGGTGGATCCCATGGCTTTGTTGATCCCATGGCATGCCTGCACCTGAAAACAAAGGTATCGAACCGGGTGTGAATTCCAATGGGCCCCAGTCCCTTTGGTGGACATCAAACATGGAGGGGGCTCCATATTCTCAACACTCACAGCCATGCGAGTAAACGTAGCAAGTCGCGGACCCCAAACATGGCTTGATGTTTTGCGCCTGGTGTCCTTTTCGCCAAGCTGACCAAAAAAGAAGAAGAAACAAACACGAACACCTCTCCACCAAAAACAGAAACACCGCGTACCATGTGCCGCTGATGGGTTCAGACTCAGAGCCTGGCGCTTTTCCCTTGTGGCCCGGTTCCTTGAAGCCCCGGCCCTTGAAGCTCGCTGGACTACTACGCGCCTTTTCGCCTGAAACGAGGAAACACGCCCAATATATATATAGTGAATTCGATTCCCTTTAACGGGGGAAAATGAAACAACATATTCGTTTCAGCAAACGGAAGTGAAGACTGCCTTGGAAGCCTCAAGCGTTTGCTCGTCTTGCTGCCCTGCTCAGAAAGCTCGACCGAGGCGCTGTTTACGCCATGTGAGCTGTTCTTTGCCTGCACTTTTAGCCACCAGCATGTCGCATGCATTTACCTCACACCAAACCACAGTCAAGCAGATCAGGTGCCTGGTTGCCAAAACGCCCCTCTCTAAACTGCTGCGGAAACCACCCAACCCCCCCCCCCCCCAAGCAACTCCACCGCAACTTTGCGAACCCCTCAAAACGAATCCAATCAAAGCAAACAAAAAAACGGCTCGCCACACTTAAATCCGGGGGGGGGGGGCCAGCGCGCCCAGCGCCCAAAGCGAGCAACGGCGGGGCGGGGGCCTGGGCCGTTTGCGCCGCCAGCTCCATCTCCCCCAGCGCGAGCTTCGCTTTGGCCGCCACGTGCAGGGCGGCCTCGGCAGAAGGCGCCGGTTGGCTCACCGGGACATCTACACGGAACCGAAAAACCGAGCCAAAACAACTACCAGCCCCATTTTGGAGACCCCCAAAAATCCTCCGTTTTGGAGTGAGCACTCTCTTCTTTTAAATTTTTCTCCGGGATTGCTGTATCTTGTTGAGTTCCATGGTTGGAGAACCCCGCAAAAAAGAAAGAACATGCATTTTGGAGGAGTCTCCTTTTTGGAGGACTCTCCCTTCTTTTTTTCGGGGACTGGGGTGTCTCATGTTATTTTTGCAGGGGAGGACGTGCAGCGAAAGGAAGACCTGTGGCAGGGAAAGCCCCGCATCCCTTAAGCAATGCACGGAGAAGACGGTTTTTCTTCGGTGGAACGATGGTTGTTTGAAGCACTCGCGCGTACGATCGACCTTGAGCAGTTCGCTGTGCGATTCGCTGGTATCTGCAAACACTCTACAGTGCACAAAGGCAGGTTATGTCATGTTCCAGCCCGGCCCTTAAAACCCATCCACTGTTCAGATGTACCACTGTCGGGCAAGCACGAGTCATTCGAGTCCGGCAAAACGGTTCAGAAAGGCCACCTGTGAGGCCAAGGAAGGGCTCGCCGCCCCGCATTTGTCCAGGCGCTGGTTTCGTTTCCCAGACCGCGCCGTGGATTCACTGGGAGTTCAGTGCGGGCGGCCTTCTGGACCTCAAAAAGTGTCTCATCTCCCGAGCTCCCGAGAGACGTGGCTATGCTCGGCCAAGTTTGGTCGTAGCCCCAGGTCCCAGCGAAACTGAATGGCACACCATTCCGATCTTTGTTTGTAAGATGAAACTGAAACTCTGCATTGACTTGAAATTCAAAATAGGAGTTGAGAGATATTTCCCGGCTGTGATCCAAGTCGAAACTTTTAGTGCATCAAGTACAGGAACCACCATCATAGGGCATATTCTGAACCTTGCCCCCCCCCCCCCCCCCCTCGAGCTACCCGATCAAAGAGATCGTCTGCTGGATCATTGAAACACCGTGCCCGAGGGTTGCTTTTGGAATACTAGCCAAAAAGGAGAAAAGGTATTCCCCCAAATGTTGCGCAGGGTATTCACCCAAAATGTCAAACGTAACAACCGAGGGAAATTCCGGAACTCACTGGCGGAACCGAAATGATTTCATCCTTCTAACAAAACGGGTGGTTTGATTCTGGCTCCCCAAGCAACCCAAGTCTATCCCGAAGCAATCCAAGTCCTGAGCAAACAGATCAACCCGGATTTAATGACAAAGCTGCGATACGCCCTGCAGCCGAAGCTGTGCACATGGGGTTTTCATGGACACATTCCATTCACCTGGTTGTTTTGATAGAAACGCCATTCACACGGGGGATTTCATGGAAAAAACACATCCATTCACATGTTTTTCTTAACAAAAAATAGACCGGCCATTTGTTGTAATTAACGAGTCCGCCCGAGAAAAAAAAAGTCCCTCGCCTTCTCAGCGCTTTGGCCATTGAACACACGAGGCGCGAGCGCCCAGCAACCAAACTCCCCGCGGAACGCTTTCGCCGGGCCCGCGGCGGCTCGACACTCCGCGCCCGCGGAGTCCTGCCCATGTTCGGACCTTTTGATCAATCCTAGTGGATCCACTTATCTATATAGTAGGAAACCAAGACCTTGCCGATCCTTGCCACCCTTTAAAGACCAAAAGGGACATAGGGCTGTGGCTCGAAAAACCGGTACCAACATGGAACCCTGGCAAGTGGACACATGGGTACCAACACCTGCGGTTTGCCCCTCCTGTGAGCCACACCCACAGGATTTCCCATCTCCTTGGCCGCCACTTCACAGGCCAGCCGCCACGCCGACGCCGGGCCCTACATGTGACATGTGGTTTTTGTTGGTTGGAATGTGGGTGGCTCATGTCTTTTGGAGGGTATCCCTCTTTTGGGGACTAAAGGAACTCCCCAAACAAAGTCGGAATGGTGCTTCTTGCTTTTTGTGGTTTCCTGAAATCTGAAGGGGTAGAAGTTTTGAGACATTCCCTAAGACACGAATACAAATAGAACCCTACAAGTGGTCAGACATGGGAGTGCTGGAAGAGGGCATGGGGGTCTGGGGTGGGGGAAGGGGCAGGCATAGGTGACTTGATAGAAAAGTAGATGGCCTCCATCTATTTCCAACCAAACTATCCCAAAAAGGACACCTTTCTGGGAAACCGCAAGGAAACCGGCGACTGAGAATCACCCTTCCAAAACAACACATGGGGCCTGAGCAACGCTCCCCTTTAAAATTGGAAGATTGACTTCCAAGCCAATCGGCAGGCTCAAAGTGATTGTTTTGAGGCTGGGCTGTCCGTTTTCAGCCTAAAAGTCGAACACTTTTCGGTGAGATGGAACCTGGCACTACATCCTAAGCTGAAAGAAGGAACCGGATGGCTGGGAGCCACCAAGGGTATCTTCGCAAAGGCTTGCGCCAAAGTTGAAGCTCCATGCCCTACTCGTATCTGACATCGCTGTGAAACCGTCGCGAGGATCTGGATTCAGCTGGTTCAATTGTACGAATGAGGCTGCTTCAGCTGGGATCCTTTCTTAGCCCTCTGCTGCGCTGGGTCGGCTTCCAAGGCGGGCTTCCGCGTGGCGATGAAAAATCATCGACCTACGAAGGTCAACTTCTTTTTATTTTTTCGGGCACCGTCCTCCCTCACCACACCAACCATTTCAAATGGAAGGGTGCAGGGAATAGTCGTTAAGAGACAAACGCCTGAAGCCCTCAAAATGGGTTTGTCTGAAAATAGGGGACCACATTTTTGATGGGTTCCCTTTAAATGTAATATCCCATGAAAAGCACCCCAAGATTTCCCTCAAAGCATGGCACCCCTCAAAATTGTGCAGTTCTTAAATCCCCTAAAAGTCGAACACTTTCAGCGGTTTACTGGAAACTACGACTACAGCCACCTGAGCCCAATTAATAAAAGCTAAAAAACGACTAAACAACAGCTAAACAACAGCAAAAAGACAGCTTTACCCAAATAAACCAACTAAACAAACAGCTAAAAACGAGTAAACAACAGCTAAGCCCAACTAAACCATCCAAAACCTGCTAAACAACAACCAAACAACAGCTAAAAGACAGCTAAACCCAATTAAACCAACTAAACAACAGCTAAAACCAACTAAACGAACTAAAACCAGCTAAACAACAACTAAACAATAGCTAAACCCAGCTAAACCCAAGTAAACCAACTAAAACCCACTAAAACCAACAAAAAAAGAGGTTTAAACCAAAACAAATAAAAAACAACAGCTAAACCCAACTACACCAGCTAAAACAAGCTTAAACAAACGGCTAAAAAACAGCTAAAAAACAGCTAAACCCAACTAAACCAACTAAAACCCACTAGAACCAACAAAAACAAGCTAAAACACAGCTAAACCCAACTAAACCAACTAAAAAAGGCTAAACAACCACTAAGAAACAACTAAACAAACAGCTAAAATACCTTTCTGGAAGGGACCCCGGAAAACAGCCGGCTTCCGACCCGAGACCCACCGGGACCCGCATTTTCTTTCGACTCGGCACCTCGTTGAAGTCGTCCTCCTGGCGGTCCGATTCCGGTTGATTCCTCAATGTAGACACTACTGTGGATGGTTGCGAAATCAAAACAACCTGAAAAGGGTTCCATTTACCAGGGCGCCATTTTCCTACATCCGTTTGATCCACAGCCATTTGGCCATGGGTCAAAACCCCGGTTATCCCCCCAGTGAACATCCGATTCAATCCAACCACTAAAATAGGTCCTAAAAGGGTGAATTCACCTACCAACCAACATGGTACCATTCTCGAACACATGCAGCCACATGGCTTGCTGTTTCGGTCACTGCACAAACAACTACTTCGGGATCCTCCACTGTGGATGGTTGCGAAATCCATTTTGCACCTGAGAAACCTCTGGAAGGATGCGATTCCCCTAGTAAAATACCAACAAACAGTGGTTTCAACCATGGTTTTAAAGTGGTGCAAATTGGATTTCATCCATCCACAGTATGATGGCAAACAGGTTTTTTCATGATTCGGTGGCTTGGAGCCAGGTGGGTTTTGTGGTTGGTGCGCTTCCCATTTACCCCCAAGACCCAGGGGTCACAAATCCAAACCAACTGGGGGTTTACCTGATGAACAAAACCAATCGGAGGGGAGAATCAAATGTTTTGTGCTCAGTTTTGGCCTGAATTTGGGAGGCAGGAAAAAACATCTGCAGATCACACAACCTTGGCTGTCCGTTTTCAGATCCCCTGCGAACAGTCGAACACTTTTAGTGGGTTTCGTGGAAACTACCACTAAACCAGCTACAAAGAACTAAAAATCTAAGTCCGAGTTTCCATTGGGATCTTCGTCACCATTTACGGCCATCCTAGTAACCCCAAGTAAAGGCGTCGTTTGACAATAACACAGGTGGCTTCCATTGAAACGATCGCCACTTTGGGAGGTTCCAAAAAGGGAAACGGCTCGGAACCCTGGCACAGAGAAGGTAACTGGAATCACGTGAGGGCGTCTCTCACAAGATGAGGGTACCCTTGTTGATTCGAACGGAAAGCCGATGGGAAGCAACTCAGGCTCTTTCCCCGGCTCGCCCCTTCATGGCAATGATCATCCAAACCGATCGGTACTGAAATGGTCGATCGCCTGAACCATGGCCAAAGAAAGGAAAAAGGCGGCGAAGGCACCAATTTTGTGTGTTTTTATCTACTAGGTCCTCCAGGGTTAAAATAAGGGCACCCCTTTTTCTGTCGTCTATTTTAGTAGACGACCACCCTCCCAACCAAAAAGGTTGGGTGAGAGTCCGGGCACCCTTTCGCTGGGGGGACCTAGGCGAACTCCGGGTTTGGGACGTCAAGCCCTTCGCTTTCGTTCCTTTGAGTCGGGGCCTGAGAAGTGGGAAGTGGGGCTTCGCGGTCCAAGTCTCGCCCAAGCGGGGGGGGGTTGTGATTTATGACAAAGAAAAGAGGAACCGAACATGGCCGGCGGAATTGGTGAGCATCCCTGTGGTAGAAAAAGACTTGAAGGTTCCCAAAATGCGATTCGATTCCAGTCTGCCAGTCGCGAGGGCAAGTGAGAGGCTGGGATCCGCTGGAATGCATCAAGCATTATCTGAAGCAACGCAAATGATGCGTGGATCTTTTTGTCAGGGAGCCCCCCCCCCCAAAAAAAAAGAGGTGGGGTTTTCCTGATGGCTTCCCTCTAACCGCCGAAACAGAGGTTCCCCCAAGAACAAACACCCAAATAACACCGGTGTCAGCTCACATCTATCCGTTAGCTTGAAAGGCAGCGGGCATGCGAGAGGCGAAGCACCGTGTTTCTGTCCCCTTTCTTTTGACCGGGAACAAGCCCCCGCGACAAGGAGGGGGAAGAGCCACAACTTGCATGTCGCTTCTTCCGCCCGAGTTGAAAGCATCTCTGCCATGCTTTTCCCAAACATCCCTGTTGCAGCCAGTGACCCTTTCAAAAAAGGGGGCCTTTCTCGCTGGGGTTTGACCATCTCTGGGGTTTGGCCATCCAAGAAGGGGTTCAGAGGCCACTGACCCGCAGCTTCATGTGCCTTTCACACCCAACCCTGGCACTGCCTCGGGACCCTTCCGACGCCCAAGAAGAAAGCCTAGGTCCTCCAGATTTGAGAGGTTTAAAACAAGTTGGTACCCGATTTCTTTCTCTGTCTACTTTAGTAGGGGAAGCCGCCCAACCCAAAAAGGGGTGAGAGTCCGGGCACCCTTTCGCTGGGGGACCTAGAAGCGTCCTTGGCCGCTTGCGCATCTGCCACCGCCAGCAGCGCGGCAGACTGCGACGGTGCGAGGCGAGACCCGAAGGAGAAACCCAGCGGGCCACGGATTCGGTGCGTGAGGTCAGTGGTAGTAACGCACCCCGGAAAAAAAAGCCCATGGTTTTGTTCAGCCCAAGGTGGGTGTTTTTTCACCAGGCTTACGACCAAACTTGCCTGACGTATCTGTAAACCCAACCACTAAACAGGGATCCGGATGCATGAAACACACCGATCGAACATTGCGACTTGTAAATGGTGGTGTCCAACTTTATTTGGGTGTGGAAAAAGCCACCTGTAACTCAAATGGTTACGCAAAATGGAGATTTCTTTTTTAAGGAGCCCTGCTAAAGCAACCAAGATCCAAAGGCCTAAGGAACCGGAGGCTCTCTTGCGAAGACTCGGCAAGTGGATTCTTCGGCGCCACGACACCGAGGCCCGTCCAAGACATCCTCAGCTTCCATGAGTTTAGGATTTGGACACATGTAATGCTGGGTTTTCAACTTGTGGTTTCCGCTTAAAGCCACAAAAAAGGGGGTACCCTGAAAAAAAAAAGACCCATATTGGTGTCCTGTGTCCTTGATTTCCCCCGCAGGTGGCATGGCTTCGGCAGCAGGCCATGGCAGTTCCATCGGCACGGCACGAAGAGCTGCGACCAACCGCAATCGCAATTTCTCAAGTGTGGCATCTCCACGACTGGCGTCCTCATTCACAATCTGCGTAGTAACATTTTTGGGTGTGTTTTGGTTGCCCCAACAGCTCTTTCCTCTGTTTGGGGCGGCTGTCAGGGAGATGGGTTGTGGATGCCACCTAGGCTTATTTTCAGTTGCACAAATGACCTGGAACTAAAAGGCAAACCTTTTGAGGCCACGAAACATGGACCAACATGAGAAAACGGAAAGGTCGAAAGGTCGATTCGCTTTGAACGACTGAGTTCTTTGAGGCTACCCCCTTTTTTGGTGTCCCAAGGGACACCAAAAGGCAACCCACCTTCAGGAGGCCGGACCTGAAATCACCGAGCCCAGACGCCGCTCGGAAGATGGGGGACTCCAAGAACCGAAAGCATCAACGAGGTGCTCCAGTAGAGAGGTTGGAATGAGGGAACCACGCCTTTTTTTCTGTAGTCTATTTTAGTAGACGACAACCCTCCCCCAAAAAAAGTTGGTACAAGCTGGGGGACCTAGACAAAGGACTCCAAGCATTGCAGCCCTCCCCTAAACAGAAGGAACCTTCCGGCCAGACGCAACCGTGATTTCGAACCTGGGCTGTTCTCAGATCCCCCGCTAAAAGTGACTAACTCTTAGTGGGTTAAATGGACATCCAACCACTAAACACTAAAACGCTAAAAAGCTAAGGAACCGGATGGCTGGGAACCACCAGGGAACCTGTCCCTCAGACCGCTGGCTAGCTCGGAACGCCTCAGCCTGCTCATCGCCGCTGGCCTGAGATCCATGGCGTGAAACCATGGAGTCACAATCAACACCTGGTATTAAAATGGTCGATCCCCAGAACCATGCTTCAAGAATTAAGAAGGCGGATCTCCGCAGCTATTTATGGCAAGGGGATTGTCCCTTACTAACCTTCATCTACCCGAATCGGTTTTGAGCACATGGCTCCCTTTCCGACTCGGCGTGAAATGCGAGGCGCGGTGTGCCTTTGCCTTCCGCTTGCTTGAAGCCCCCTTGAACAAAACTCGGTTGCGAAATCTGCTCCCCTGCTAAAAGCGACTAACTTCTAGTGGCTCAACGGAAGCCACAAGTAATTGGCAAAACGTTCGTTGGTGCCAACATCCGTGGGCGAAATGCAAGGAAGAAAACTGGTGTCCAGGGATAGTGCCCCTCTGAAACCAAGAACGCAGAACTCTTGGGCAAATGGAAGAGAGTACTTCGCAGATCACCAGGGAAGCGGATCAAATGCTGACATCACCAGCTTGAGCAAAGCTGAGCCACCTGCGGTTGTCAAACATAGGCGAACCCCAAAATGGCTTCCAACATAGGCTAACCCCGGAAGTACTAAAACCTGCGGCCCAATCCCTGGCTAACTTTTTTGGCCCCATACCCATGGGAATCAACCCCCAGCTTGCTAATCCTGTGGCTGGACGAAATCCGTTCGCACCACTTTGAAATCCGACCCATCCCCAGGCTTTTGGTGAGGAAGGATGTGACTCAGGCCGCAGTGACTGATTCAGGTCCGGGCCCTTGCAGCATCCAGCTGCTCCTGATGCACATGGCAAAGTTGTGAGAAGGGGCTTGTTTACTTTTGCTTATGTTGGCATCTAGACACTTGGCTGATCAAAGCCAATCCGTCTTAAAATTTCTTGGACTACGAAACGGGGCCCGAAAGGCAGTGCTTTTTCCACGTCGGATGTCTGCTAGCCTCAAACCACACCCAAGTGGACGGACTTGGGGAGCCTGAACATCGGCGGTGCGCCGAACACATCAAGTTATGCCCTGCTTTGTGTTTTACAACCTTGCTTTTACCTCTAAAAACAAGAAGGGTATACCCCTCAGAAAAAAAAAGAGAAACAACAACACACGCACAAACCCATTGAACAACGTTCCACCTTGGGCCAGAGGGCCCCTCCTCTTTTGGGAAATTACCAGTGACCAGAGCAGCTCTGACTGTTGGACTAGGCTCCGCCTGGACCCGACGAAGTCGAAGCTTTGCCCTGCTGAAGGGAATTCCGCCCAGAAACCGCAAGCGCTTCTTTCCACTCCAAAAGTTCACTTTCACTCAACGGATCACAGCTGTCTCCGAAATTGGAGCTCCAACTCCAAAGGAACTCACCATCCGGCAGCCTTCAACCCCCTCCCCTTCTTTCCGCGAAGCGGCTCCTGGGCGCGCTTCAGGGCCGCGGCGGGCTGGAAGCTGAAGCCATGCAGCACACCGCTGAAGAGATGCCTCGGCTCACGGCACCAGTCACCCAAATGGCCGTGCATCAAAACCAATAGTACCGTTTTGGGGCATTTTAGTCTTTGTTAGTGGGGATTGGGATGTTCACTGGGGGTACGGGATTTTGACCCACAGCCAAATGGCTGTGGATCAAAAAGACGTAGGAAAATGGCACCCTGGTAAATGGAACCAGAGACTAAAAGCTGTGCAACCCTAGCTCTTTAATTTTGAGCCATACCCAAATAACGGCGGCTCGTCTCTAAATGAATTTTGGAGGGATAGTGGGTATCCCGCTTTGGGATAGTCTTAAAGGGAATCCAAAAGTTGAACACCTACCATTTTGGGGGGGGCCAACGGAAAAAAGGCACACCCAAATGAGGCCGTCTTTCAGTTTCCGACAACAATTGGTGCTCCGGGGTGGTTTCCCGATATAACTTCTGCAAGAACCACTGGTTCACCTCCCCAAACCTCCAATCCAAACCGCCAACAAGGGGTTGCCTGAAATTAGGCCGTCTTTGTTTCCCTTCCAAGGCACGTGCTCTGTCAGATACTGGATTCTAGGGCGACTGGATACGCATCATGTTCTACGCAACTCCTTGGAAAAGCCCCAAAAAAGGCAAGTTAAAACACAAGCCGCGTTGGAAAAAGGAGTTGGCAGAGCTTCCGGCCCTGAAGGAATTCTCCGAAGAGTGGTTCAAGGACCAAAAAAAACCTCCCCAAAGAATGCTCGCAGGGGACCAAAGGGACCAAAAACAACTCGCAAAGTCTCCCGTCCTTCCAACCTCTCCCCCACCCGTCCACTCCCCCACTTCCCCCCACTCCCCCCACTCCCCCCACTCCCCCCACTCCCCCCACTCCCCCCACTCCGCCCATTCCGCCCACTCCGCCCACTCCGCCCACTCCGCCCACTCCGCCCACTCCGCCCACTCCTCCCCTCCCGGCCTCGGCGTTGCGTTCTCGGGCTCTGCCTCTGGCAGTTTTGGGTCTC